TAATAGAGCTAAAATTTAATTTTAATACACATATATACATAAAATCTAAAATAAATGATTCTTAAATTGATGTATGTGTGATTGTGTGCTATGTACAACTTAAATAAACTGTTAAAAATGTATCGGATTATTATTAGTTTTTTTTTTTTAATTTTTAATATTTTTGTTTAATTTTTTTTAGATTATTTTGTTTTATAATTCTTAAATTTTGTGAATATTCATTTATTTACGATTTTTCATTTGAATGTTCGTTCACTATTTATTGAGGAACTTGTATACCATTTTCATTATTTATTTTTCAAATTGTTTTTTTTGCAATTAAAATTAAAATTAAAAAATATTATTACAAACATAAAATTATATATATATATATATTTAAATGCATTTTTTTTGTGTTTTTTAATTTTTTTAATTTTTTTTTATTTTTTTTTTTTTTTTTTTTGTTTTTAAAACAGAACATATTTTATATGCGGTGCTGTATGTAATTTTATAAATTTTTTTACTAACATTAAATACTAAAGAAGAAATTTTACATTTTACTTACATATTATACATACATATTGTGTAATGAACTTTTTTGTTTGAAAATTTGTGATTTTTTGTTTAATTATTAATAATAAGAGAAATGTAAAAAAAATTATTTACAATAAATAAATAAATTATTTTTTATAATTTTAGATTCACAAATTTTTACAGCACTTTTGCTAAATTTAAGGAATATACGGTAACACTATCATTTAAATCTCAATTTTCTTTAAAATGCCTAAATAAAAATATTTTGAGGTAGTGGAGAGAATAGTGTCAAAAATTGAGTTTTTAAATGTATAGACGAATTATTTATGTGAAAATATTTTTAAATATTAGAAAATAAAATTAAGTATGTAAGTAATGAATTTTTGTCTAATTAATTTAGAATATAATGAGGATTAAATTTTGAATTTAAATAAAATCACCATAAATTTAGCATGTACTGCAATTATAAGAACTTGACTGAATACAGGTACTTGTTATAAATTGTCAAAAATTTTGTTTTTGATCAAAATTGTAAAAAATTTTTGAAACGTCAATCGCATGAATTCAAAAATTTTGTTTTGGCAAAATTAACTAAAATGTAATTACTTATTAATAAATAAAAAATATGTAATTTTTTTTTAAATTGTAGGTGGCATATACACAATCGAAATTAAATGGTTCTTGATTGGATGCAAAAATCAGAGTCGAATAATTGTTAAATTCCTGACAATTTAGAAAAGCACCGAAATAAGACTATAGAAATAAGAAAAGAAAATAATAAGAATTTTAATTTACTAAGAATTTTTTGTACATTTACAGAAAAGTTCATTAACACTTAGTATTTAATTTTGTTTTATACAATTTTTATATGAAGAAGATAATTTATTTATTTACACTTTGTTTATCATAATTATATTTTAATTTATTAAACATTTTTTTTATAGTATACACAATTTAATAATTTTTTTTATTGAGGAAATTGCATTCTTTTCAAAAATTTCCTTTAAAGATTGAATAGTCATAAAATGAGGTAGTTTGCAGATTTCAATATATGTTTCAAAATTTTAATTCTTTATTTTCTTATATTTTTTTTCTTTTACCTATGATTGTTTTGAATTTCATTTTGTTTATTTTTGTTTAATATTATTTTTAGGTTTTGGATAAGGATCTAGTTTCAATAATATTATTTATAATATATACATGTATATAAAAGAAAATAAATTGCTTTGCTAACAAAATATTTTTAAAATTTGATTCACAAGATTATAAAATAAGAGAACGATATGAAACTATAATTTTTGTATAAATCGGAAATTTTATTTAATTACAATTTATATTACATTTATTATATTTAATTTGTTTAAACAAACTAATGAAAAATCTTTATTGTATTTTAGGCGAAGTTGTATTTGCTTCATTACCGATTGAGTGATCAGTATGGATAAATCAGTTGAATGCATTTACAAAACTTCAATAAATATTAAATATACTGACTAAAATACGTACATATGTTCATCAATTTTGCAAAAAACAATTACCGCACAATGACATATCATAACATCATATTGATGTCAATACAAACAGAAAATCTTATTTAAAAAATTTCGAAATAATTATATTTTCAATAATTTTTCACGCAATTGGGAACATGAAAGTCCACGTTTTCCCCGAAACATAAAATAATTTTAAACCGTAATTTAACTGTGGCAGTATTCCATATCGTAAAAAAACCGAAAAAACTTTGACGATGCATGCGTTTCACATTGCATCCCAAAAAAATTTTACAAATGTTTTGTATTTTACATTTTCGAAATGCAGAGAAAAACAAATCTAAAATGCATCTAAAAAATTTTGAATGCTTTTTGTAAACTATTGTTTTTTATAATGGTGCCATAAGGAGCAGTTATAGAAAAAATACAAAAAAATTTATCATCTAAAAATTTAATAAAAATTCTGAAAATAAAAGAAAATTAAAAGAAATAATAAAAAATAATAAAAAAGAAAAAGTGTGTATTTTAAAAAAATTAAAATTTTATTTTATATTTTTTTCATATTTTTGTTTTCTAAAACGCTTTTCGTTTTTTGAAATATTTTATATAAAAAAATTTTAATTAGATTTTTTAGTTTTTTTTTTTTTTTAACATAATGAATAATAATAATTAATTTTGTTATTCTAAAAATAAAATATAAACTAAAATATTATTAATAAGTTTTTTTATGTTTTCGTTTTTTTATAGATTATAAAACAAAACTTAAAAATATTAACAAAATTACATGCAAAAAAAAAAAAAACAAAATAAAATAAACTTAAAAACTAATTTTGATTATTTTCTCTTTTAAATGCAATTTGATTTTCTTTGATTTTTGAGTTTTTTTAAATTTTGTTTTATGGCAGACATTTTTAATATTTTAATATTAAAAATAAATTGAATCAAATTATAATTTAAATATTATATATGTATATATAGGCATGTTTGAGAGTGTGTTGTCTAAAGGACATCAAAAAAATAGGGACTGTAAAAATAATAAATGGCACTTAGAAATTTTTTTTTTAAATTTTGAAAACAAAAATATTCACAGCAGTAGTACTAGTTAAACAAATCAGTTATAAAATTATTTATATATAATATGTGAGTTTAATTAAATATAATTATTATTTAAAAAAAAATAATTGTTAATTTTTTCAATTCACAATAGATTTTTAATTAGCGAATAGCCATTTTATTTCTCGATTTTTTCAAAAATAAATTATCAAACTGATACTTGATTTGCAACATATGTTTAAGAGCATAAATTTAGTTTACATGCGACATATTGCGTTTATGAAAATACCAAATATATATCAAAATTTATCAAAATAAAATGTAATGTAAATGTTAACTATTGTGAATAGATTTTTGAGGTTTAATTAAAATTATTAATAATGAAAATTAATAGTTGTTAAGAACTATTTTGTACATCAAATTCAATTTCATATTTATTTGTTTTTTAATTGATTTTATTTATATATATATTTTTTGTATTTATTTATTTAATTGTAGTTTAAGTGCTTGTCGTTTGAATTTCCGTTTTAATTTTCATTACTTTACTTTTTTTTTGAAGTTTTGTCATATTTGAATTACTTTGAATCAGTATTTAAATTTTGGTATTTTTATAATTAAGATTTAATTTTACAGTAGTACAATTAAATACAAATATTGAACAAATTTTACTGTTTTTTTTATTAAATATATGCTATATAAAGTATACATTGGAGAGTATAATATTCTATAGTTACATAGGTTTGTGTATGAGTGTATATATTACGATATATAGTTAATAAATTCTTTATACGATATAAATATTGATTTTTAATTAATTATTAATTAAATTACTAATTATATGTATACTTAATGACTAAAGTCTTGTACTAATTCAAATTCCTGTTTTCAAATTTCAAATTTATTATTTTTTATATTTTGTTTTGTTTTGGTTTGTCCTTTAATTTTTTTATATAAATATATACATATACATGATTATATAATAATGACTATATATTTTATATATTTTTAATTTTTTTGATTACATTAATAAACTTATTTAATAAATATATTCTTAAACTATATTTTGAATTTATTTTTATGTACAATTAATTTGTTTTTTTTATTTTATTTACAATATTTTTTTTGTTTTATTTTTGTTGTACATATAACTTAATTATTAAATAATATTATGTTTAAATGTCGTATATATATTATCTATATAGATTCATTTTGAAATTTTTAAATTAAATTTAATTGAAGAAAAAAATAATAGGAAATTTGGCAAAATTTGGTTTTATTTACATATGCATATTTTTTTTTAGAAACTGAAGCGTTTTTGACAAAAAAAAAATTATAATTTTTTGGTTTCAAACATTTTTTTGTACAATTCTTTTTAATCATTATTAACATTTTGTGACTCAAATTAATTGTAAGTATTGTTGTGTATGTTAAAATTTAATCTCTATATACTGCGTATCAACTTTATTTCAAATTTACTATAAGCACGTAGAACAAAATCTGATTATCGATTATTTTTAATCAGTTTAAAATAATTTATTAATTACCATTTTTTAAATTATCTGATATTTTTACTACCAATTCCATAAATTACATTACAAAATTGGATAAAGTCAATTATTTTATTAAGTATTATTAAATAACGCTAACAAAAACCCACAAAGTAAAGGAACCTTTTAACCATCGTTGTAACAATAATTTTTATATTGAAAATCATATTATTAAAATTTTCAGTATAATATGCTAACAAATATGAAAATATTATTAATTAATAAGAAAAAGAAATTTATTATAAAATTAAAAATAATTTTCAAAATTATTTATAACAATTTTATAAATTCTTATAAATTATTATTGTGATTTTCATTAACTAAAATTATTCAATTATACATTTTTCCAATTTCAAAACTAAAAACAACAAACATTTCAATTGATGTTCATACATATTTATTGATGTTCAATTCTAGAAGAATATTTTTTGGGTGTTATTGATGCCGCGGCGGCTGCAGCCGCTGCTGCTGCTGCCGCTTGCATCATTCTTTGTCTTTGTTTTAAATTTAATGTTGCAGCATCATCTAAATCTTCTAAATCTAAATCATCATGATGCGATAATGATTGATTTTGATGATGGTGATGATGAAGATGATGATTATGTTGTGATTGCTGTTGTTGTTGCTGTAAATGATGTCCTCCTAATATTGGTGAAATTGGTGAATGCCATGATTTCGGCGATCTTATACTTAAATCTTCAGGTTCAGTTTGTTCAGGTAAATTAACTATAGCAGGTAATTGTATTGGTATATGTGGTGTTGGTAATCTTAAAACACGTCTTATATCAGATGATTTACGACTCCTTTTTTCAGAAGCATCAAGAATACTATTACCATTGTTGTTATTGTTATTATTATTGTTATTATGAAGATTATTAATACCATCTTCTGATAAATCTAATGGTAATTCATAATTTCCAGTTGTTATAGATGATGATGATGTATTACTTAAATTATGATGAGAATTTTGATGATGGTGATGATGATTATTATTATTTAATTGATTTGATAAATTCATTGAAGATGATGATGATGATTTATGATTTAAATCAACATTTGAATCATCTGATGCACTATATGAACTAATTGTTGATTTTTGAGCTGACATTTCATAATCAGACATAGCTGGACTTATTGCTGGTGTTGGTGGCGTTTGTATACCACATTTATGATGCATTAAATGATGTCTTCGTCGGAATTTCATATGACAGCGTTCACATTCAAATGGTTTTTCACCATTATGTATTAAAGAATGTGATTTTAATTGATTTGAATCACTAAAACGTGCATCACACATTTCACATGTATATGGTCTTTCACCAGTATGAACACGTAAATGACGTCTCAAATTTGCTACTTGAACAAATTGACGATCACAGTGGCTACAATGATATGGTTTTTCACCAGTATGTAATCTCATATGTGTTTTCAAATGATGATCACGTGTAAATCTTTTATGGCATTCTGGACATTCAAATGGTTTTTCACCAGTATGGGTACGTTCATGATTTTGTAGAACATGTTTGTAACCAAATGAGCGATTACATATTTTACAGGTAAAACTTTTATCTCTTGATGGATCTTTGCTATTGCTATGTACGGGAATATCTTGTTGTGAATTCGGTGATGAACCACTTGATGGTGGTGAAATTGGTCCAGAGGGTGTATAAATATCTTGTTTCATTGGTATATCAATTGGTGGTGATAATAAATCTTTTTTAACACTAATTTTCCGTGTTTTTTTAGGTGGAATATCCATTGTTGTTGAAACGATATTATTATTATTATTGTTGTTGTTGTTATTATTATTATTATTACTTGTATTATTATTGTTATTATTATTAGGACTAGTATTATTATTATTGTTATTTAATAAACTATTAGTACTGTTAATATTATTGTGATTTGTACTATTGCTAATATTATTATTATTATTACTTAATATATGAGATTTTTTTGTGGTAATAGAATTCGTATTTAATATTGTTGGTGATATTGGTGATGCTGGTGGAGAATGTGGTCCATTTATTGGTGGTAATTGTGTTGGTGATTTTGTCCACGAACCAAATAATGCTGGATGATGTGGAAATAAAGTTGATGCTAATGTTGACATTGGTAATTGAGCTGCCATAAATGCTGCTGCTGTACGATTTGCAGCTAATAATTGTGATGGTGATAGCATACCTAATGCAGAAGCAGCAGCAGCTGAATGTAAACCTGGATATACAGCAGTTTGTTGTAAATGATGTGGTGCTGTTATTATTGATGGTGGTGGTGACATTGTAAGACTATGATCAACTTCTTCACGTTTAATACCGGCTAAAGCAGCAGCTAATCCTGAAAAGATAAAAAAAAAGAGGAATTAATAAAAACGGAAATTAGTTTTGTTTAAAGTTTAATTTTATTTTACTTTTACTTGTTTTGTTAAAATAAATAGTATACAGCTGAAAGCGTTTATTTATAAATAGAAAAGTATAATTTCAGTTTATCGGAAAGACACCACGCTGAGAAAATTGAGGTGGAAAATGTGTATGTGTCCTGTATTTACACACAAATATGAAAATGTTTGTGATATATACTTATAACTGTACATCAACATGGATAACATACACATTAAATGATTTCTATATTATAGAAAAGGGCAAAAACATCAGGAAGTTCTTATTTTGTAAACACATAGTTAATATTTTGACCCTTAAGGCAATTTAATTTTTGATCTTATCCATTTTCGGTTTTCATTTTTCTTCCTCTAGAAATTTTCTTCAAAAACAGAAGGATTTCAATTTTCTATTTATGTTTGAACTTTTGCCTTTATATTTTTTGGTTGTCACGTGAATTTGAAATGACACTTGATTAAATAAATTTAAAAAATAATATTAAAGAATAAGTTTAATAATATTTTTTAAGTAGGTATTTGGTTAAACTGGAAGGAAAATACCGGACGACTGCAAATTTCTATTTGAATCGCTTAATCAGTCGTTATCATTAATTTTTTAAGTCTGATTTTTAATTAAATGTTGGCAATAGTTACATTTTAGATAATTCATTCAAAGCTTTCAATTTTGAAATAATTAAAAGGCGTAGAATTGTGTGATATCGACTGACAAAAACTTGAGATTATAATTATCGAGTGAACGGCTGGAAGTGGCGATGGTATAGTTTAAACTCAATGATGGAAGTCAATTCAAATTGGAAGACAATCATTGGAAGTCTGTAATTTTTATCAGTTTAGACTTGTTGGTTACATTATTGTGAATAAAAACCTTCACTTTTAAAATCTTCTTCATGTTATTTTTCATGATTTCTCTATGATAAGTGTCAGTTTGTATATGTGTACATGTATACTTTTATCTTACTTTCTCTTAACTCTTAGCTAAAGGATGCAAATATGAAAAAGGAAGTGGGTACACACGTGTGCTCAGAAAAATTGACATAAATTATTTACATATTATGTACATATTACTTATGTCTTGCATATTTATTTTGCCGAATTTTCATAATTTTCATTCTTTGTTTTGATTTCATTATTCCGTACTTTTTTTCCTATACTTTTTATTATTAATTTTTTTCTCTTTTCGAGTAAATTAACAGTTTATATCAATTCTGTCGCGAAAAATAATAACATATAAATATTTAGCGACACAATTAAGCAACACACTCATAATTACATGCCATAAAAATTATTATATATGTATTAATGGAAGAGCGAGCTAAAAATAACAATATTGTGAATAGTTCACAATAATAAAAAACTATAGCTGATTACATTTCAAATGTGTATGTATAAATAATTTTTTTATTAAAGTACTAAAAAAATTCATGCAATAAATAATGCTATTTGCTACACATATGCATTTTTTTAGTACAAAAAAAAATAAAAAAGTACAATTTTTATTTCCCCTTCTTTTTCAAACATAATTTCCTTCGGTTTTTCAAAATTTTCTGAGAGAGAAAAAATCCATAAGAGAAAAATCGAAATTATTTTTGCCTTATTTCGGGAATTTTATTTTAATTCTCTCATGGGATGTTTTATTTTTTTTACCTTTGAATTAATTTTTTTTTTTGTTTTTTTTTTTCGGTAGTTGAGACTTTTGAGAGCATATCTTTTTAGTTATGTTCAGTGGAATTATTAAATATATTATGTAGAAACGGTATGCATGTGTGTGTGTGTCAACCATATAACCCTTTTAGTACGGTAAAAAATTTTTGTTTATTTTATGTTTTCACATATGACGGTTAACAAAATATTAACAAGTTATTTTTCGGGGGAAAACAAATACAGAAGCATTTGTAAATATTTAATGAGAGCAAATATATAAACACATTCATACACACTTGTAATTTATTTTGAGAATTTCTTATTCGTTTATTTTATTAAAAAAAGGGTTTACCCCTTTTCTTTTAATGGTGTGTGGGCATGATTCAAACATGTATTTATATTTTGTTTTTATTTTCGTTATTTAATCTTAAATTGTGTTATCAATTCGTTTTTATCAATGTAAATATAATACAAAAGTGTTATATAATTTATGATTTATTTAAAAATAAGTTTTTTCTTGTTTCACTTCGAAAATTAAGAGAGTAAAATTATATTGAGTTGTTTTATTTTCCTACCGTTATGCGTTATACATTAAATTTAATAAAATGAGAGAAATTTTATAATTTATGTTAGAGAATTAGTTAAAGAAAAAAACTGTTATAAAATATGAAAAGGATAAAAAAACATAATAACATATTTTGATTGATTCAGTAATGTGTCTGTTTCTTTTGTATTTGTTTCTTGTTTTACATTGGCGGTCATTTTAATGTAATATCAATATAAATTTTGAACGATAAAAGTATAATAAAACAAAGGTTAGAAAGAGAAAGTTATACAAAAAATGAGTTATGTACATATTACATATTATATTTATATATATGGAATGAGATGTTACCAGATGTTTTAAATCATATTTTTAATATTAATATCGTACTACATAAATATTCAACCGTAGGCATACTTTTATACACACTTGCTTATGTGTATAACACTTTCATAATAATCTTTGTTTTTCTCTACATACATTGTATATTTATTGGTAATAAAACAAAAAAAAATTGATGAAAACGTCATCATTTAGAAAAATCAAAATATTGAAAATATTTCGTGTGACACTGACAAATGTGCATGTGTGGAGCATAAAAGTTTTTAACAGAATTCTTATCTTGAGCCATACAAATGTATTATATGTATATATATACAATGTAGGCGCTTTTCAATAATATAAAGAGTGTATATTGAGTGAAAATTTGTTTTCCGTTGCTCTTACTCCCTTCACTCCCTCTCCCACCCACCTCCCCCCCCCCCCCCCTTTTTCGAAACATATTTGTGATTTTTCATTTGTTTTTCAGTTTTCATTCTTTCTTTTTATATTTTAGTATTCATGTCATTGTATATGAGTGTTTACCACATAATAAACTATACATATTATTGGTAATATGGTACACAAATATATATATATATATATATATATATATATATATATATATATATATATATATATACGTACATTGTACATATGACATTTAAAATCATAATGTTGACATATCAGTATGTGTACATTCATATGTAGATATATATGTATTTATTATATATAAATAATGTGCTTTTGCTTTTCCATGTATGTAAGTATATGTATAGAAAAGGAGTTACTTAAAGGAGTGAAAATATCAAAATAAGAAATCACAAAAAGAAAAAATAGAGAACAAAAAAAGAAAAACAAATAAGAAAAGAAGAAAACAAAGGAATGGAAATAAGAAAAAAAAATAAGGAAAAATAAAAGAAAACAACTCAGACCGACCGGTAGTAGCGCCATCGAGACGTCGTAATTGCTTCTGTTTTTTTATTATTTTTCTTTATTTATTTTCTTTTTTTTTCGATATGTCTAACCAGTTAAGCACTACTCATATGTATCCAAAAATAATATACATTCATACAAATATTTATACATTTGATATTCACGTATGTCGTAATGGTATATGAAATGAGTTGTGTTTTGTATTGTGTTGTGTGGTGTGATTGGGAGTATGTATATGCGATGCACATTATTTTAAGTTTTTTATGTTGAGAATTTGAGTGAAGATTTCCCATTCTATATTCTCTCGTTATGTATATATGTACATACGAATATTTGTATGGTATGTGTAGGTAAGTATGTTTTGCTTTTGTTTGAAATACGATTTGATGAAGAGTTTGGTTTAATATTATATTATATGCTCTTTTATTATTATTATTACTATTATTAATATTACTGTTATATTATTATGATTATTGTTGTTGTTTCATTAAAGAGAGATATGTACATGAACGTAGATATTGACTTCAGAGTTTTGTTTATAATACTGTGTATATAGAATATAATTTTGATGTAAAAAAAAATAACAATAACAATAATATTGCGAGGAGTCCTTGATTTTGTTTTATTTTTTTTTTTAGTTTTTTGCTATATTTATGTATATGAGTATAATTTAAGCATATATATAACTTAGTTGATTTGAAATTTTTGGTTGATTTAAAATTATAAATCTATATACTCAAAGAGATGATTATATTTGTATATTGACTATATTGTTGTCATTTGTGTAAATCATACGAAAGGATAAACTATATGATAGCTGTCATACAAATATATTGTATGATAAAGAAATAATATATTACAAGTGTATAACTATAGTATAAATGAAATATGCCATTTTTGGGTTGTATTTCATAGTATGGTTAAGAATATTGTGCGACTGACTAACAACTTATTCCAACATTGTTGCGATTATTGGGATTTTTAATGTTGACATGTTTTTTGTTTTTGTGCTATAAATAAGTTTGAAGTGTATATATGTTGAACATGTGTGCTTATTAAATTTATATATACAATTTTATGTGCACATATGTGGAATAATATGTTACACTTATGTATGTATATATGATGAATAATATACTTTCACTCATATTTCTTTTCGTCCTTATTATCAACCTAAATATTTATGTATAGGTATATATTGTATATAACAATAATATATATATGTATATGGAAACGTTAATAAATATTTCTTGAAAAAGGAAAATATTTTTTTCTTGTTATTTTCACATTTAATAGGTTATTATTGTAGTTGACATCTATGTTTAACTTCTTTGGGGTGTTTGAAGTTATAAAAATAAAACAAAAACGTGTGTGTAAAATGAATAAAAATGAAAAGAGAAAGGAATAACAAAAATGAAAAGCTTCCTGTTTTACTTTATTTTATATATTTGGTGCTCATCGTTTGTTTGTCCTTCTATTTTTGTGTATATACTACGTTTA